GTTTGGGGCGTGGCAAAGGTGGGGTCAGTGACAGGGAGGGGACATGGGCGTGACCACGGGGCAGGGGCGGGGTTGGTGTTTTTATGGACGGGGAAATCCGCACAATGGGCGTTCCTGGGTGCGATGTCCCCGCTCCGAGTGCCACCGGTGTCCCCGGGGCAAGGGACGGGCTTTTCCCTGCACAGCACAGCTCCGTTTTTCCCCCAAAAAAGCTCCGGTCCCGCTCGCCCCAGCGGGTTCGGTACAAACCCCGAGCAGGAAAAAAATCCCGGGAAAAACATCCCGGGAAAATCCCAGGAATTTTATGTAAATCAAAGCGTGATTGAACCATCGCTGCCTGAGGATTCGGAGGAGCTGAGACCTCCACAACCCCTCCAAGGCCATAAATAAATATTATTAATTATTATCGATACTTCTCTGATGCGCGCTGCCGGCAGCGACGCTCAGCACTGCGAGGCTGTGACAGGGGTGGGTGACACACGGGGACACTCGGGGAACAGCCCCGGGCCGCCCTCCCTGCCCACCTTCAGCCCTGGGCTCTCTATTTTTCATTTCGCTTTGGTTTTTATACATTTGAAACCTTTCCCCGGGCCTGGGTGTTTTGTTCTGGCCCCAAATCTCACTTTTCTCCCCGAGCGGAGGGGCTCGGTGAGGTTTGGTGGGGCTCAGCCCAAAGCCACCCCCAGGGACCCCAAAGCCACCACAAGGACGGAGCTCGCTCCTGACCCCATCAGCAGCATCCGAGCGCTGCCCAAAACCTCCCGCACACCTGGATCCCCCTGGATCCCCCTGGATCCATCTGGATCCCCCTGGATCCCCCTGGATCTCCCTGAATCCCCCCTGGATCCCCCCTGGATCCCCCTGGATCTCTTTGGATCCCCCCTGGATCCACCTGGATCCCCATGGATCCACCCGCGACCTGCGGGGACTCGCCTCCTTTTCCCGAAACTCCCGGTGTCCCTCCCGGTGTCCCTCTCCCGGTGCCCCTCCCGGTGTCACTCCCGGTGTCCCTCCCGGTGTCCCTCCCGGTGTCCCTCTCCCGGTGTCCCTCCCGGTGTCACTCCCGGTGCTCCTCCCGGTGTCCCTCTCCCGGTGTCCCTCCCGGTGTCCCTCTCCCGGTGTCCCTCT